AATCCCTGTTGGTGTGCAATTGAGAAAAGGCGTAAAACCTTTCCCATAGTGATACTCAATCTTTCATGTCTTTTGAAATCATGAATGTGCGATGCTTGGAAATATTTGTGGAAGACAAATAATATGTGCAGATCGCTAAATTCAATCTTATTTTATTCCCGCGTTTGATTTGATTTTCTGCTCCATCCGTAAATTTGTGAAACTGTTCTCATTTAAATACGCTAATATTGCAATTGCCAAAAAAAAAAAATGCTGCACTCCTCCGTAGACGAAGCCTTAATTTGCTTCAGGTCTTCTCGTCTTCTTGCGTTGACCCTATGATGATGTAATTTGTACCTTTTTTTGTTTTTAGACTCTTGCGAGAATTTTCATTTGAGCAAAACAAGACCCACGTTTCTGAGTTGCTGAATGCAGCGACGGCAGTTTTCCTGGATGCCGGCCGGAATCATCAGGCTGGCCCGATAGAAACTGCCCAGTTGCTGGTCATTGTTTCCGACGGCCGAGGGCTTTTCTACGAAGGCTCGGATAAGGTTGATGCGGCCGTCAGACAAGCCCGGGATGCAGACATTTTCGTCGTTTTTGTCGTCGTCGATAATCCGGAAAATAAGGTACAGTCGAGCCGTATCTGTTGGACGAGTTTGAAAAGACCAGGGGAAAATTGGTTGGGTCGAAACCTCACTAATGCGAATTTTCATTTAATCTTTGGTCAATTCCCGGAAGTCCAATGCAATTCAAAACTCCATATTTTTGGGTCAATTTGTTTTAATAAGTTGGAGCTTGCTTATCTTCCAAAAAAAAATACTGTATTATAATTATTTTCTTCATGCTCTCCATGTGAGATTGGCATCTATGAAGAATGCATAGTTGTTATCATTTGGCTGGAAAATATATTCAATTGGTTACCCTACCCAAATGAAGCCAAATTCCTCAACTCAAAGACGGTCTTTTCAAGTAAAAATGTTCTTTTTTTTTGGAAATTTTTTTTCGGGAACTTCAAATTTAAATCGAAAAAGTTTAGCTGTAGCACATCTCCGTGAATTTTGAGCTGATTATTTCTGGAGATTACTCCAGGTAAATTTTCGTATGACTACGATAGTTTCGAAAGAACAGAAAATGTCATGTCTTGAATTTGAGTTTTTTTTTTTTCATTTTGAAGGACTCCGTTTTGGACATTAGACAGCCGCAGTTTGCGAGCGATGGATCTCTGCTGGGGATCAAGTCCTACATGGAGAACTTCCCGTTTCCGTTCTACGTGATCCTGAGGGACATCGACGCCTTGCCGTCGGTGCTCGGGGACGCCTTGAGACAGTGGTTCGAGCTCGTCACGACGCCCAAATCCACCTGATGTGTATATTCGTCGCGTCGGACGTCGATGGCTTTCGGTGTTTCGGATGATGAAGGAGAGCAGAAAAGGTGTGAGAGAATGCCGAAATGCAGTCGAGAGTTCGAATTGAGGGAAAATTTGTCTGATGGGGTTTCATTTCTGGTGCGAGGTTGAGAAGACTGAGTCGAGTCGATTTTTAGTTTCGCCGTGATCGTTGCCCATTTTTCAAGGTTTTGCAAAAAGGCAGCTTTCAATGTAGTGAAATACTGAAGTGCGGTACAGTGATTTAATTTTTTGACGTACAGTACCGGCATATTTACGTAAGCACCACGCGCCCCCATTTTTTTTTAAGGCCGTTTTTAAAATTCGGTAACAATTTTATAGAAGATTTGGTGCGTGAATCATGTTGGGTAATTGATTGCAGCGCATGTCTACCTATCCATAGCATCTTGAGAAGAAAAGAAAGGTTGTTCAACACCGAAGGTTTCCCAAATGATGTGTTCTCGTGTTTCTGATACTTATGTTCGGATATTATTCGGACCCACGAGAGGTGGATGAATAAGCAACCTTTTTGCTTTAAAAATAAGTTTTCGATGGCCCAAATTGCGCAATTCAATCTTTGGAAAGTAAAGATATGAAATACGGACAGGAAAGCGTGCACAGAAACTTCAATGTTCTTGTATCAAGAATAGTCCGCGAAGTCGGTCTACAAAACATCTCGGTGGGAATTTCAATTAAAGTATTGTACCCTCCACAGTACTGTACTGAATACGCCACTATATACTCTACTGTATTGCTCATGTGCTGAATTTTAATTTGGATTAGAATGTCCCCTGTTCTTAAAATAATAAATGCTCAATTTTTATTTTTTCGGGCAATGTCTATCGTATTGTACCTATGAGGCTATGACCCCTTCTTTCTGAGGAACGAACCGGTCGTAAACATGACGAAATCGACCATCCGCTAATTATTTAATTCCGTAGTTTTCAATACTGTAATTAAAAAACGATCGAGGCATGCAAAGTACGTATACTGTACCTCAATTCCGAAATGGGCCACACTCCGGGCGGCTTTTGTTTTGGTTGATGCGGCATCTGTTCATTGTACTCACTGTAGATAGCTTATTTTGATCAACAGGTGTCGCTCTATCAGAAAACTTGTTTCCTCTCACGATGGTTCTTCTCGAACGAACGGTGGACCACAATAACGAATGGCATGAATAGATAGATCATTGCATCAGTTAGACCAGTTGGTTGATAAACCATCAAATGGAAGATAATTGGAGTACATCGTAGATTCGGATTTGCATTATTTATGGGTCGTTGTCATTTGTCAGACGAAAATCAGACTCGTTTCATGTGGAAAGTATTGTATACAGTATATAAATCTTTACTTATGTATCAATGTCTCACCATTGATGTTGTCAGTTGGTGGACTCGGCGCTAAAATACTGTACATTATTTGAAAAATTGTTCAGCAAAGAAATTCCATTCTGTCAAGTGGAATATTCCTTGGATAATACATATATACAGTATATATATATATAATAGCTCATGCTTAGAGTACAAGTACAAAATTACAGGTGGTTGTTCAACAAATAACCAGCTTTAATATTAATTTTTTAACTTTAATGACAAGCGGTGTGACTGGGCCACACAATGGGCCATGCCCTCTAACATGCGTGATCTGATAATAATTTTCAAATCTAAAATTGGTCCAGTACCCAGGTGTGGCCAGGCACCTTCAGCTTGTACATATATAAAATGGCATATTTATAATTCTACAAACAATAATTTGCATCAGGAAATGTCTGTATCTTCACACAGTGGGAGTAGAGCAATGATATTGCTTGGACCAGGCGAAACAAGTCTTTTATCAACTTATTGCATGCAGCTGTGATTGGGCAAACAAATTTCTGTATCTGTTGACAATCTAGCACAATATGCATGTACTCATTCTCAGTTTGGTCAAAGATGGACAGACAAGAATGCAACAAAGTCACATGTCCTAAAATCCACTCATAGCATATTGTGCAACCTTGATGAGTCATCTGCTATATTTCTACATGATATACCCAATGGAATCAAGATGAACAGGTATTTTCTCAGGACAGTGTGCATTTATTGGCATGTTTAAAACAAAACTTATGGGGATGGTTTGAATATTGAATTCAATAATATGCTTCGAGAAAAACTTTCCATGGCATTTCATCATGCAGTCAACTGTTGAACTTCGAAAATGTATGTCTTGAAACATATATAATTCTTCATTGTTACGCAATTTATCCTTAATACTTAAAATATAAAGGATGGATATACAGTACACAGTACAGCACTGTTGGTCGAAAACAAATGCGTCCTGAATTTTACAATTTGTTTATTCGCACAGGGAAGGCATTTGATTTGCACTTGATGACCTCCAGCACGCGCGCACCAAAAAGGAACGAGAGTGCAATTCGTTCAAGTATATAGCGCACAGCAGCATATCATCCGGCCGTCGAAGTGAAGACGTTCTCGAAGGCCCTGCTGAAGCGGTGCTGGAACGTGGAGAAGGCCACGGTGTCGCCGCATCGCAGGACCGCCGTTTCCAAGTCGCCGGGCTGGTACAGGGAGAAGCACTCTTGCAGGCCGCGAATGTAGTTGAGGTAGGCCCAGTTGAGCACGCTGGCCACCAGGATTTTCAGGCCAAAGGGCGGGAGAACGTGGTCGTCGTGGTCCTTAGACAAGTGGTGGAAGTACGTACGTACCGTGTCATTTTAGAGTAATGTTGTTTGTGTGTTGTCCCTAAACTATTTTTTCGTAGTACTACTTGCTTTAACTTGTATTTACTTAGATTCAAGACTTCTTACCCTTGTCAGACTTGAAGCTTTGGTAAATTGGAAATAAATCCTGTCAAGGGCTTCTAAAAAAGATAAATGATGATCTGTTTCATTTTTCAATTATCTTTGATGAAATGCATAAAGAAAATTTTTAATACTTAGTAATTATCTTTTATTGAACCTGTCTTTCTGCTAATAAGTTGCTGTTATTCTACTGAAAAGTAAAATTAAAAATAATTATATGTGGAAAAAATACTATGCATATAGATGGTACCTTGCAATTTGACCTGCAATCAAGCGGTTGAATTTGCTTGGAAATCAACTTGCAATTCAACCTCTTTCCCAAAGTTCGACCTGTTTTAGCCTCTTTTCTAGTGTATTTGTGCTCTTTGCCCTTGATTTTAAAGATTGTCTCGCAATTATTAAATTTGACCCTAGTTTGGCATTTAATGGATAAGGGTCAAAATTGCAAGGTACCATCTGTACCTTAAATTCTTCTCCATCAAAAGATGAGGGTTGTCTCACTTGAACTTAGCCTTTAGTATTTTTAGGGTGGATATTACAATGAATAATATTTTATAATTTAGCTTGTGATATTCTAAGAACATCATGAACTAAATAAAATATAATTATTTCCATTGGTACCTACTCTAGTAATACCGATGGCTAAGTTCAAGTGGGACAACCCTTGTATTCATTAACACCTTTCCTGTGTGCTCTTTGAATACAAGAACCTTTATTTTCAACATACTGTTGATTTGAAAGAAAGGCATACATTCTGAGATGGAGCTCTAGAATCTCCAAGAAAGAAATCACATTGTCTATTTTTTGAGAAGTTAATTTGTTTTACTGAGATAATGGCCTGAAATGAGTTTGTTGAAATGAGATTTTAAAACACTGCGCTTATAGAGAAACTTCTGGGTTTATATAAAAATTGATTTGAGGAAAATATGTTAAAATTTGATTCAAAGGAAATTTTCCGGATCAATTACATCATTTATTGTTGCTGATCAGTACATCAAAATATTTTCTTTGTTTCAAGTTTAAGTTAAAAAGATATCTCAAAAATAATCTGTTGCATGCTAATAGGGTTGTCTCGTTTTGTTAAAGACATCTCTTTACATTTTGAATGCTTCTTGGCTTAAATTTATGAGGTCTTTACTTTTCTGCAACAGTAAATATTCCTGTTGAGGTTGCTGTCTGCGTGCACTTCAAGTGATTATAGCAGTGTTATCATTTGCACAAAATGTCCTTGACATTTATTTCAAGAGATAGGACACAGAGCTTTTGTTTTTTATCCTTACCCAACGCCTTAACTATTAAGGTCGTCAATTACTGGTAATACTATTTTGAACTATGTTTGGACATGTAACTTCATTCGTATTAACCTGTTCGACTACTGCTTTCGTACGTTATTGTGGTCTATTGCAGGAACAGCGTATCCATTGATGAGGTAGAAAATTGACAGAGTCGTGGCAGACACTAACACAGGAATCTTCCACAAGACATTGAAGTTCATGGCCACTCTGTCATAACTGCAAACAAAAGCTCAAAGTATATTCTTTGATTTGCAATAAAACTTTTGATAAATAATAATCACCATCATATAATCCATAATTTTCACCAGTACTGTACTGAACATGAATTTCAGGAGCTTATATACTGAAGCTCAGTATTTTTAGGATGATTTCAATTTTTAAATCTATCTTGACCTCAAGTTCACCCAAATAATATATAATCCATAATTTTCACCAGTACTGTACTGAACATGAATTTCAGGAGCTTATATACTGAAGCTCAGTATTTTTAGGATGATTTCAATTTTTAAATCTATCTTGACCTCAAGTTCACCCAAATAAATTGCAAAAAATGTGTTCCAAGTTATTGGAATTTTGTGTGTGTGTCTTGATCCTGGAATGGATGACGTAATTTCTTCACAATTACAATATAGCTGCAAGGAAATCCTGTTTAAGGCATCAAACATTATTCCCATCTAGGAACAGAACCATTTTGGTTTTGCAAAAAGAACCAACTTTATTGTATACAGTACTTCATACTGTACTTGACTGCTGTTTGGTACAGTACAGTAGATGTTGGAGTGTCAGATCACATTCTCCCATAGACTTGAATTGGAATATACTCCATTGGTTCTCCTGTTCATAAAAAATAGGAATAAAGTTCCCCAAAATGGAAGACATTTTTTTTTCTCAACTTCATGATACAGAAGAAAACCACAATGAATCTGATCTTTAAGCAACAAAAGGAGCTCAAGAAGCTAACAACAAAACAAGAAGTACAATGTATTGGTACATGCTGTCCAAACATGATTGAAAAAAACTCTGAAAAAAATAACAAAATTAGTGTGTTATTAAGTACAGCTGTTTTATGAATTTGAGTATTTTTATAATGAAATGCTGTTTGAAACTTTTGCAAAAAATAAATAGCTGAATTTCTTCAAGACGAGATATCAATAGTTTAAAAAATAAAAATCTTCAAAGTTTATAAAAATGCATATACTGTATCTCATTCTCAAGACAAGTGCTGTGCTGATATTCAGATGATATATGGGGCACATTTTTTTTGTCTTTTTTCAAGTTTCAAGTGTCTCCAAAAATCGAATCGTGTTTACGTTGGATATATCCTTACACTAAACAGTATACTCTACAAGTCCACAGTACAGTAGAGTATTGCAGTGTACTGTACAATACACAGTACCTGAGACCCCTGAGCGGACGCACAATGGCCAGCGCAGCGTAGGACACAAAGGCCAGCGGAAAGAAGGCCTGGAACGGCGACGCGACCCGGATGTCGAACCCGAAGAACCTGAGGGTCTCGTAGGTCATGCCAGGCACAGTCCAGGTGCAGTAGAGCAGGTACAGCAGGGACTTGATGTCGTCCACCTTGGCCCGCACGTCCAGGTTGGCCAGGCCGCGCATGGCGCCACGCGACCACAAGAACCACACCATGAACGGCACGTCAAAAGACCGCCGCACCGCCTCCAGCAGGCTGATGAGGGCGGACAACTATAATGAGGGGATGAACCGAGAAACAACGACATTCATCATGTGCAGGGAGGACAAAAAAAAAAAAGAAGAGATGAAAATGAGCCATGATGGGGGAAATTTTGTTATGAGGGTCATTAATTGTTCATATTTTCAAATTTGTGTCCTGCAGTCTTTTTAATTTATTTTACTATTACCAGAGCTATATTTGCCCTACATCCCACCATCACAGATGAAGGGCAGTTAGAGTGGGTCTCCAAGATGTGGACATACAGTGAGACCCCAAGATGCGGACGTAATTGGTGCATCAAGAGTGTCCCCAAATCAAAATGTCCCTAAGTTGAGTCTTGTTTTCCCATAGACTTACATTATATAATTNTCAGATCAAGTTTTTTCATGGACCTTTTGATGGAAGCATTTTAATAACTTAGTCCATTATTTGGTGAACAATTTCAAAAAATTTCTTCAAAATTGAGATAACGCATTGCTTAGCATAAATTTTAAGATGCCAACACTAACTATACATTAGAAAACCATGTAGAATCTGGAATTTTAGCATAAAAATGAGTCCAAATGAGAAAAAATAAGAACACAGCATCCTGCTGCACTGCCCACATAATTTGCATGTACCACCAAAAAAAAGTTGGCCATGGATGCATGGCTATATCCTGTCATTACATTCAACTTGGTCATTTTACTTCAAATTTACTCTGAAAAGGCATGCAGGATAGAATCTTGAAACAAAAAGTCATTGAGGCCTAGAAAAACTCATCACAAAAAATGAAATAAGTTTGTTGCATTCAGACTTGAATGAAATTCTGGCAAATGATGAGGACAGGACCTTGGAATATAGTGTTGTAAAAAGCAGAAAAATCATTCAACACATTTGTTGTCATAATCTTCTGCTGTACCAGTCACTTTTTGCCTTTCTTGGCCTTAAAAAAAACCAAATGCTCATTTGGATGTGAAAATGCCAGGCTATTGCAAAGCATTTTTCCTCAAAAAATGATTTCAGGTTTGTAAAATATATTCTCAAGACTCACCAAGACATGACACTGCAAGTATCTGTGTGCTACCAGGGGGGACTTGACATTGTTTCGAACATAACTTTCCCCAAACTCAGAGAACTTGTAAAGTAAGTAGCTTGAGTACGTGACAGAGTACAAGTTGCAGCAGATCATCAACCAATGAAAGGGTGCTTCCCTGCGCACCTTAGAATAGTAGGTGTTCATCTCATTCCTTTCCAGAGCCTCTGAACGAACTTTGATATCCTCAAACCTGTCATCCTCTGCTGGGTTTCATGAAATTCAAAAAAATATATATATCAATAGGTGCTATACAGCAAATTGCATGTGGCAAACTGCTGATCCATGGATTGACCTGGATCATCACTGCGGAACTGGAGAAAAGTGGGTCTGTAAACATAGCTGCTTTGTGGCCCATCATCAAACTCTGTCATCCACTCCAGCATTCTGGGGTCCTTGATGGTAACAGGAACAGGGATCATACCAGGAGCTGTGTCATACTTACTACTAAATGAAGTGGCAGAGGAGGAGGATGCTGCAAAAAAATCATAAATAATTATCAGCTATACTCCTGGGATAAATTGCGATGTTCTTCCATCTAAAACTTGTCTATAGTATATTAGTCAGTTTGCTTCCCTTTCCAATTTCCAGAAGAGTAGTCATGCAATAACAGGTAAAATGCCACATTCAACCCAATGCAACAGATAGAATTAATAGAAAACTTAGTCTGTTGAATAAATGACACTTGGTCGGTCTAACATAACACTTTCAGAGCATTAATGAACTAAAAAAGTGAAGTTGAAACAGTAGATCTTGTTACAACAAACTCATATATGGGGATGACTTCAGAAAAGTTTGTTATAATGAATAAATTGTAATAGCAAGATTATCAAAATTATTGATTGAGAAGATTTTTCAAAATTAAACCTTCATATACTCAATATCTTCTGTTATGGCCTTTTCATGTTTTTCTATGATTAAAAACTGTCTTCAAAAAATTTCAAAACATGTACTCTGAATTTTGTGAACTAAGTTATTTTATAAACAATTCCTAAGTCTTTTTAATGTTCCAAAAAAGCTTTTTGTTGCTAAGCATCAGTAAAGGGTTTTGCAAGCACCCATATGAACCCCTTTCAACATGAGTTTTGCTGGTTTCATTTTTTTCCTTTGACCCCCTTCCAAAAATTGCAATACTGTATTATGATCAAAATGAAGAGCTCCATAATCCTTATTTGAAGATTCTTAAATAAATCTGGTGTCATCCAGGTTAACATAATTGTAGTTATTATTGAACACTGTGTCTTGCCTAATGCACTTGCTTATTTTAGGTGTGTGCTCAAGTTCAGGAGCCAAAATTATGTAGTTCACAAAACTATTCAGTTTTCTTCAAGTTCCTCAAATACATTAAATGGGTAATAGTTTGGCAGCATCAAAAGTTCTTAAAAGCCATCAGATGTTTGATTTATTGGTTATACTGCTGTATGTGTTAATCCATTCTGAGGAGCTCTAAGAACTCTTGAGTCACATAATTGATTAAGGGATGCCTTAAGAGATGAACCTGTGTCATACTGATGAATTCTTACTTAGTGAATGGGTAGAAGTGACTCCAGTCAGAGGATGTCTCATTGTAGTCACAGGCGCCGGCACCAGGGGTCGCAACTGGATGCGATTGGGTCTCTCAGGCACTGGCCTAGCAGACCTGGGCAAGGTGTCATGACTCCTTGTTTTACCAAACTTTGAATAATGTTCTAGCTCCTGAATCTCCTTGGCTGTTGGAACAACCTTGATTCTCTTCTTGTGTCTCCCAGACATCTTCACCTCTCTCAAAGACACCCACTAAGTTAAGGACAAGATGGAATATTCTATTTCAGTTCAGCATGCTGCATGTAGTGAGGATTGTCAATGGCTGTGACCTTCACAAGGCTGTTTGGGAGAAATGTGAGTGATTAAGAGGAGTAAGTACTATATTAATGAAAGAGGTTATTTTCTCAAATTGATTCTGCTTAACTTTGTCCTTCATGTGCATACATATATATTGTTACAATGATTCGATTTCAGAAGTTATGATTCAACATGAAGATTTATAGTTGAGTCCTGCTGAAACTTCAGCTTGTGCTTGGGGGAAAAAAGGTCCACAACATACTTTTTGCTTTCATTGAAGCAGAGGATATGCTGAGGATGTGGAATGTGCAGTGCAGTCAACCCTCATCCAATAAACTTATTTTGTGTAATGGACAAGTCCTTTAGACAAAAAAGTCCTTTAGACAAATTCAATCATATAATAAATTTAAAATTGCAAATTGTCTACTCTAATTTTGAACCAAAATAAGTCTGTTGGGTAGATTTTGTCTGTTTTGTGGGAGGAATAACTGTCTGCAGAGCTGGTCTGTTAGGCAAAAATCCCTTATGCAGGAGGTCTGTTAGGCAGGGGGCTACTGTATAAGCAAGACAATGTGCTCAAAGACCTGCAAAATAAAAACAGGATAATTATCATTCAAGTCCTGAAGAATTTTATTGATGGAATATCAAATCAGTATTAAAACCAATTAATTTCAGTCTTTAACACATTTTCAATATATTTTTCCCTAAACCTCCAGAATTCAAATTTTCTGGAGGCATTTTTGGGCATTATTTTATTGACACAGGAAGGATAAAAATGAATAAAATTGCATCTTGATGCTTTTTGAAAATAAAATGAAATACTGTATTGACTCAAGTACCTTGCGCACCTTTTTTCTCAAATTTCAGAAGAAAAAAAGGGGTGCACATCATAAGCAGGTACACATTTTCAAGAAGTTTTAGGAAGCTTTGTGAGCATTATACTTGATTATAATGGAGAAACTTTGAAGAAATGTAACAAGAAAACTTTTTTGTCCAGAAAAAGTTGAAAATTGATCCAATCTTTGTTCAATTTGTGTCTAAAGTCAAATCTTCTGAATTTTTTTTCAAAATTTTTGTTTGTTTTAGATTCACTAAAAATTGGGTTGCACATCTTACTTGGGTATAAGATTTTAGCCAAATGTCCAACTTAAAAGCCCCTGTGCGCGCCTTGAGGGTGGGTGGTGGTACTGGAGTAAATATGGTACTATTTGGGCAAATGAACACTTGCCACAAGTTCAGCATCTTGTAAACTCATTTAGGAAGCAATTCAAGGCCCCAATATCCTCAATTAAAATTTCAAGTACAGTAATTCTTTGCTTTTGCCCCCACCCCAGAAAAAAGGCTTTATTGTTTCCCTTATTGAAAAACCTCCCCAACTAAAATTCCCCTCTTGCTGGTCCCTATAAAATTGAGAGGTTTGATTGTTTAGATTTTACATGGGAGTGTTTTTAAGAGAATTCAGACAGGCGTTCAAAAAAGCGAATTTAAGGAGGTTTTTCACTTCAGGAGCTATAGGTTGAATTTATCCAAGTCCAACTGATATAATTTCCTAGCATACCTTTGTATACGGTAATAAGCTGATATAGGAAATCAGTTTCATCAGCAGTAGATGAGGAACAAAAGAATTCAAGTCTCGGATATTTCAATGAAATTGTTGGTCTTTGATGACGAAGAATTTTCAACGCCGATGAGCGACGATGGAGAGACGCGAGTTGAAATGCGGAATAATATATCGCACCAACAAACCAAAGCAAAAAAAAAAGGGGGGGAGGGAAGGGGAAAGAAAAAGGAAAATGCGTCTTCCATCAGCCAGTTTCGAAAATGTATAGAAAATGAGGAAAAGGGATTCTACGATAGATAATTATCGATCTGGAATATCATCATCACGTATCACGTCTCGAGAGCAATGCCCAGCCCCAGCTTGTGCGCACCCGAGTCCAGCTTGCCCAGGTCCACGGCGGAGCTGAAGGTGAGTGTCACACTGGGCCCGATCTTCTGCTCGTAGCACGTGCCCAGTGTGCCGTTGGTGTCCAGCTTGGCGCCGACCATGGTGTTGGCGTCGACAGCGATGCGCATGCCGACGCCGACAGTGGACGCCCCGCCGCCGCCAGAGTCCTGCTGCTGTTGCTGGTCGTCCTGAAACTCGTGCTTGAGCGCCACCCCCGCCTCCAGGCAATCAGACACCCGCAAGTGGAGTCCCGCAATGGCCTCGCGACCATTCAGCAGAGTGGCGAATCCACTCAGGGTCTGCATCAAAAGTCGTGGGGGGAAACAAAAAGGCTATATAGCTCTTGTAAAAAGTACAGTGAGACCCCAACATGCGGAAAATTCGACATGGGGACATTTGTTTTTCAATAAAAAAAAAAAGGTTTCAAAAGAGCCTGGCATATGGACATTGGCTTGACATGAGGACATTACATGATGAAATTGCAAAAACAATTTTCAGGAAAATTGACTTTTATTAGGCTTCTTTTCAAGAAACAAATTTCCAACCATTATAGATCTATATTATACAAGAAAAATTATTAGGTATTTCTCTCATCATTTCCCATCCATTCAGCTAATTTAAAAAAATCACCCACAGCGCAGAGGGACTTACTTCTCTCTTTGTGACTTGAATGTTATTTTTACAGATGTCAACATTTCAATTTACTGTACAGAGGTACACTATTCAATGCTCCAAATGTTTTTATTGAGTTGACAAGATATTGACAGAATCTAATTCAAATGGTAAAAAAAATTTCATGGAATTCAAAAGAATATTTCTTTCATAAAACACCAATTAAAATTAATTTATGTATGCCTATGGAAAATGAGACTCAACTCAAGGACATTTTGACTTGAGGACACTCTTGATGCACGAATTATGCCTACATCTGGGGTCTCACTGCCTGAAAAGGGGAGCTATTCTTTGTGTGACCCCACAACTTGTGCATACTGGGGTCACAACTGGTGTGCATGGGCTATTCTGGGGTTACAAGCATATTAGATGAAATTTTGATACCATTCCAGGGCTACATTTGGTGCAAAATGTGATATAACAGGAGTACCACACAAATGCACCAACCTTGGTGTAACTTATTTCTTTACAAATGTGACTGAGTAATCCTGGTGTGAACACAATATAATAAGTTACACCAAGGTTACAGTTGGTGCATTTGTGCAATACTCCTGTTATGTCACATTTATGCACCATATGTTGCCCAGGAATGGTAGCAAACTTTCATCTACAAAGAGGCATATGCTTGTAACCCCAGAATAGCCCATGTACACCAATTGTGACCCCAGTGTGCACCATTTGTGGGGTCACACAAAGAATAGCTTCCCACTTGGACAATAAAGGTTACAATTGGTGCATTTGGGTGATACTCCTAATAAAATGATATGTCACATTTGTGCACCAAATGTAGCCCTGGAATGGTAGCAAAATTTCATCTACAAAGAGGCATATGCTTGTAACTCCAAAATAGCCCATGTACACCATCAGTTGTGACCCCAGTATGCACCAGTTTTTATGGGGTTACAAAAATAATATAGCTCCCCACTTGGGCAGAGAATTCAATATTCACAGATTAGCCCAAGGTAAGGAAAATTGCTGATGTATAGCATTTTCTATATGGTTCCTAGAAGTTTGTTAGATCAAGATTTTACTGTAACCATATATAAGCAGCATATTCTTAGCTGTAACTCACAGGGGTATCGTAGGCCAGTCCGTACTGCAAGCGCTCCGTGCGTCGCTTCTCCATGCCGTAGACAGCAGCGACACCTGCACTCACGCCGCTCGCCTGGCTGCCCACCACCACGCCGCCCGACAGCGTCTTGGCGCGGAACACGTCCGTCTCCAGCGTCGCAGCCACGTAGTCGTGGGCAAAGGACAGCTTGGACGCCAGGTTATAGTCTCCCGTCGTCGGGGCAAACA